GACCAATGGTCCGATGATTCAACTGATAGCGAAATGGTTGATCAGAGCGATGAGGACTTAGTGTCACTCTACATACAAGTAAAAAAACCGATTGCGCGTCAAAATAAAACTCAAAGGGAATTAAAGAGATCGGCTGTTCGTCGTTTAGTCGAAGGACGTTATGTAAAATTATCACAATCGCCGGTGGCGATAAAGAATAATACAGATAAATTGTCATCTCCGTGGGAGAAAAACGATTTTTTCAAGGCCTACTGCGAATTCGATGATTTATCTTCAGGCGTCGACGACGACGAAGATTCTGCCGACCAGGATAATTATTACGTGGATTTTTTATCGAAAAATCTATCGAACAATGATTAATGCCAAATCGAATATTTTAACCTATCATTTAAACGTTTTTTAAAATTTTTAATTTCTATTGATTTTAACGAATTATATATAAAATATTGAAGCTAAATTATAGAGTTTGTCTAATATTATTTATTATAAAGTCAAATATGTATAGATTTGTTTTAATGATTTTAGTGATTTTACTTCAGTTAGGATACATATTTGTGCGAAGAAATCATCAGAAAGAACCTGAAACTTATTCCTAAAAAAATATACTGATGTACAAAGTTTCCCTGAGTTAAACAATAAAATATTTTATTTATAAAAAATACATAAATACTTGAAGTAATAATAATTTTAATAAAATATCCCGGAATTTAACTTTTTATTATCTAATTATTTTTCATAATTATAAAATTCAAGAATAATAAATTACCTTTATAAAATTAACAAAATAATATATAATAATAACTATAAAAAAACATTAAAAATTATGTTTGAATATTGAAAAAAAATTATAAAATATGTAAAAAAAAAAGCTTAAAATTGACTATGATTTTTGGGCTAACTTTTGTAATGGGTTTTTATTAATGAAATTTATATACCTATTAAGAATATATTATCTAAAATTAATTTTTCAGACAATATATCAATTTTATTTATTTAGTTGGAGGAGTTTCACATTTATATGGTTTATAAATTATATAAATATAATTTATATATCATACTTTGACTTAGAATTATATCTTAATTTCAAAAGTTATTTAACTAGTTATGATGTAGAATTATTATTCAAAAAAATAATTAAATAAAAAACATTAAATAAATCTTATTAACAAAACTTGTAAGTACATAAGAAATCACAATTTTTAAAATAAAAACGTAAACAAATTGTTATCATCATAATTATGGTTTGTTATATTAAAATCCAGTAAATTCTTTGTGCAATTGCGTTTCATGTGATCAGATTTATACTTGTATGGGTATAATTTTTATTGTAATGGAAATATTTCAAACGTTAATTTTATGTAGTAACTTTTTTATTACAAGCACGTTTTGAAAAATAATCACTAATGTTTGTGTTGGATATAAGAGTTGAGATTGATTTTCGAAAAACATATGGAACTGAATACTTAAAAAAATTATAGTATCAGTATTATACGTCCTACAAAAATCAAGCTGAACACTTATAGTTGACTTTCTTTAATTAAAACGTAGATATTTAGGTACTTAGTTATTCAAGTACTTGTAATGGAAAATTCACAAATATTTTGAAAATTATAATTGGTCACTCGGTTTGAAAGTAAAAAATAAAACCCAATTATAAATAGTATAGGTACTTCTAGAAAATTATAATACTATGATAAAGTTATTAGTAACAATATAATATAAACCTTAATCTACGACTGGCGTAATTTATAAAACAGATCAAAAAAATAGATACAGTTTACTTATAAATAACCCTTAGGTTTGTATGGTGGTCTATTGGAGACGATTATCAAACAATTTTTAACCGAATATAAGGTGATAAAAATTTACATAGCTTACATCGCACGTAATGCTATTAACATTGAGGTGTTAGATTTGTTTTGTTTTAGTGTTTTTTGCATTGAGTTCATGTGATTTATTAAATAAGATAAAATGCATTCTATGTGTAAAAATGGCACTGGAAAAAGGCGCCTACGAGAGACAAAACTTTTTAAAATCACAGACTCAACTTCAAAACAATTAAGATTAACAAACTTGTAAACATGTTAACACCAAGTGTTTTTTTTAAATTTATTTGTATTTATTATGTTATAAATATAAAAATATCAACAAGTTTTTTGTTTTTAGCAAAAATGAACATAATAAAAAAAAAAAATGAAAATTTTTATTTCAATATAGCTGTTTTATTGCTACTATAGATAACATGAGATTATGATCTTTTCCATAAATATGACACCGAGGAGTAATTTTTGAAAAGATTAAAAATACAAAATTAAATGATGAGAAAAAAAAAATCATCGAGGAATTAGGTGTGAATGGATAAAAATCTCAATGGATCCTTTTTTCTCATCCGACGCTGAAATGTACTAAAAAAATACTAAGATAACTTTTCCGAATTATTGACATTTAGTATATTTTTTTCTCATGATTACGTTTTCCCAGGTTATTTTCTATGTAAAAAACTAAAATTTGATACATTTGAATCCCCACAAAATTATCTACGATTTATTGGTAATTTAAATATTTAATCAAACAATTTTACTAATTTTAAGTCGAAACAATGAAGTAAATAGTTTTCACTGGCTTAGGGATGTTATTTACTTTGAAAAGGAAGGGTAAAATCGATCTGGTGTCTGAGCTGTTATCAGGTAGCTGTTGGGTCGTTTCCACTTACGTATATCCTCTAAATGACCTTTGATTGTATATTAACCGAACGAGTGATAATAGCATACTAGTAGTCCATCTTGGTTAAGTGTTTCATGTATTATTCAAGTCCCAATGATCAAAAACATAATGTTACTTGGGCAATAATATCTACACTCAAGTAAGTTTAAATGCAAAATGCTATAGTATAGGAACGCCGTATCAGTACACTTCATCGGAAAGTTAATGTAATCAAAAGATTATCCATACAAAACCGTAATTCGTTCTAACAGAATTTTTTATGTAAATCTACCTTATAATATTTGAATTGAACATACAAAAATCAAATTTTTATATGATTTGTTGGAATTTAATTTAAATCGTTTTCTTTATTTTGAGCTAAATTTTTAATTAATAAACAGTACATGTGTTCGTATTATTTATTCTTTTCGTTTATAAAATAGCTTGGCTAAATGATAACACTAGTTGCCTAGCAAATTTATGTTTGTTTAAATCATAACAAATGTGTAAAAGCTTTTAACTTGAATTTCGTGTGCAACAATATGCATTAAAATTGCCACTACTCGGTTAGACCGTCGAACTAAATGAGTATGCATAAATGGTACACATATCCTGGATATCTTGCCACGATAATATTCATAGCAGTTTTAACGAAAAAATTTGCCACGAACATTCTTTCTAATTACAAGATGGGTTTAGGTAATTATTGAAAATAACAATCTTGAATATTTACTCATAAGATTACGATGAAAATATGCAAAGCCATTATGTTAATCGAAACCATAATTTTTATAATATTTTCAATAGTTAGTCGAATATTATAAAATCAAATTGATTTTCAATTATGAAGAATGACATTAACTTATTATTAACATTTATAATTATTCGTTTCGATCGAAATTGAACTGATTTTTAGTTTACTGAACTTAATAAGCAAATTAATGTTCATTAAGTAACTCATTATTTTTAATGGTTTAATTGTATATAAAAAAAATATTATATTACAATTGAAAAATATTATTAGGAGACGTAAAAAAATTGCATAAATTTGAATTAAAATAAAAAAAAGATATTTTATTGTAAATATAATAAAATATATTCATTTATTTAAAAATAAGGACTTTTATAATTTATTTGTCTCATCATTATTAACTTAAAATTTTTTTAAATAACAAATGTTGCAAATCATAATACGATAAAAAATATTTTTAATAAGTATTATTACAAAACAATATTTTATGTAATTATTTATTTAAAGTTTTTTTATAATATTTAGATACTTTATAAATGAGTATATATTATTTTATACTTCCCGTTTAATTAAAAAAAATTATTTACTTTATCTAAATCAACTGGATTTTTTTCCTAGTTTTTCTTATAAAATATTGAAGAATTCTTAGCATATTAGAAAGAAAGCTAATTCTCTGAATATTTTAATCTTGTCATGTGCATTCATTGTGTTTAGATGACGAAGAGCAGACCAACACACACTTATATATCGATGAAGATGATGACCAATGGTCCGATGATTCAACTGATAGCGAAATGGTTGATCAGAGCGATGAGGACTTAGTGTCACTCTACATACAAGTACCAAAACCGATTTCCCGTCAAAATAAAACTCGAAGGGAGTTGAAGAGATTGGCAGTTCGTCGTTTAGTCGAAGGACGTCATGTTAAATTATCACAATCGCCGGTGGCGATAAAGAATAATACAGATAAATTGTCATCTCCGTGGGAGAAAAAT